TTGTTCAGTGCGATGACGATAAGTAAATGTGTAGCCCTTGGGCAGGGCAACTTATTTGTGTGTTCTGTAATATGTTATAATGCCACTACACTACTTTGGTTTGTATTATTTATCGAACTTAGTTGTATGGTTTGAAACAAATGGTTTGTAAACTATGTTATTGTAAGACTTCCGCTGATTTACTCTGGTGTAGATATTTGAATAAATGTTGTAATGCTGCAATGAGTCTGTAATGTGATCCTGCTCGGAAATCGTGGATGATTCGGGGTTCTCCGAGGACACCCGACAGTCTTCTTAAGTTACCGGGAACATATGCATAGTTGTCAAAGGTCGTCGAACGGTGACAGGTGCATGTGGGCCCTATAATTTAGGAGGTTCTGCCACACACGTGTCTCAGTCAAAATGGTCACATGACCATTGCCTTCAATGGTCAAATGCTCACTTAGACGAAGCTCTGGACCAGGCTCAGAAGCCTGGGTCCAGACCCTCTAACTCCCGCGGGTCCGGTTGAGACAAAAATCATGCAGAGAGCTCCCCGAGAGCGATTTTGCCTCCAGAGCCGGTCCACTTGAAGAAACCACACCACGCACAGTGTGGTTTGGATCACCTCCACGTGCCATGTCACCCCATTCAAATTCTAGCATACGCACGCGTCCAGTCGAACCTAGCTGCCACCTTACGGACCCTCATCCCGCCAGGGCTTAGAGCAGCCACGCTCCTGCACTGCTCCCTGTGTCCACAACCGAAATCTGCCGAGATGGTCCAAAACCCCTGCTAGGCAGGGTCTGGAGCTCACTGAGCTCCCCTCGGCTAGGGTTTGAGTCCAGACCAGACTCTCCCCTGGGTCCGGACCCCCTACGCCAGCAGGGTTCGATCCTTAACCACATCTCCTTTTCTTTTTCCATCACTTCAACCATTTCACCCTTGCTTTCATGTTGCTAACCACGATGTGTATAACCCATGTGCATGTGTGTTAGCATTTTTTCAAGCATTTTTCAAGGGTGAATTGTTAGCACACTAGGTCCTAATGCATATGCAATTATGACTTCACCTAGTGGCACTCAATAACCGCTTAGACAAATATTTTCCCTCTTTATAGTACAGCTATTGATCCTAAATGTGATCACACTCTCTATAGTGTCTTGATCACTAAAATAAAAACCTATTTGATACATTTGCTTTGATCAACACTTGGTTTTTGTTTTTCTCTTTCTTCTTTTCTGAGTTGAAGCATGATCACCATCATCTCATGTCCATCTTCACCTCCATGGACTTCACCACATTGCTCCATCACTTGATGTGTACCAACCTTGCTTATATGACCCTCATGATAAAGGTTAGTACTTAGATTTCATCAATTAGCCAAAACCAAACTAAGGCTTTCAGTAGCGTGCGGTGGAAGGAGGATGAAGAGGTCGTGATGGACCTCGTGACTTGATGCTTGGCCCAAGGCCTTTGTAGCTTAAGCAAGCTGCGATTGCTGGGCCTCTACTGGTTGGGCCATCGTGGCCCGTCCGAACGGCTAACTAATCGATATCCTGAGATACCCGCGGCATCATAACCCCGACACTAGCTCTCTAGTGTAGCCAAGTAGTGACATAGCAAATTGTGTGGCTAGAGATCATAATATACTATAATTTTTTTTGTAGTAGTGGCTTGCAACCCTTGTAGAGCTAGAGCAAAATTGCATTACGCCATTTAGTTTACTAACCACTTGCTCTAATGATTTTGTAGATAATTTTTATAGACTATTCACCTTGCTCTAGCCATTTAGGACCTTTCAGTGTGCTTTTGCAACTCTCTATGTCGTCTTTGAGCGTCTCTACAAGACTCTTTCCGTGCGCGCGTCTTAGAATTCCCCGCTCGCGTTCTTGCCTGGCCATCCTCTCCTCGGGTGTTAGATTTGCATGCCATTGACTTGAGACTCTTTCTTTGTATTGTTCCACATTGTTGACTGGATCAGATGTAGGTTGCATGCGTCCTGATAAGAATAATTTCTTTATAAGGATGCATGAGCACATTTTCTAATTGCATGTATTGATTATTAAAATAATGTACCTGGACTGAGATCATTTGACGAAGTAGTCAAGTCACCGGCTAGTGTAGTTTTTGCTTTTTTAAGATAATATGCTTTTTTTCATTCCTTTCTTCTTGAGTCAATTTAGCATTACGTGCTTTATCCCTTTCCCTTTTATGCTGCCTATTTGCATCAATTTTTGTTTGTATATTGGATGCACTCTGGTCACCTGTTTGAAAAAAATTGCATGAGGACATAATATGCATCCCTGTTCATCCCAAATATCATTATTTTACCTCGTATAGTAGTGTTTCTCAGTTCTTCGGATGGAGTACGACCATCATTATTATCCAATAGGTCCATGGAGAAGAGATCTAGCAAAAAAATAATGGTAAGCTATAGGGACTGAGTAGCGGCAACAAAGCTTTAATTAATTTTTAGACAAGTTGCCAGTGCTGCATAATTTCAGATCATAGGACAGGTAACATTCATGAAATCCAATCTTCAAAAAATAAAAAAGAAATGATGCACATTTTTTTATTGAGAGATCGAAGGATAGAGAAATTAGGCTCACCTTTGATCCCCTGTGAGACAGCTGTCCGGATGGAGCTGTAGCAATTAGGAGATTGGGAGGAGGGGGTGTCTGCTGTGATGATGTTGTGATGATCCCGTACACCCGTGCGGCCGTGCCTTTTGTGAATAATTAAACTGACGAGCCCAGCCTGTACATGTCTTTTGGATTTATAAATAATGTGAGGCTGGCGACCTTACCAACGAGGCTGCTGAGTGCTGACCATTTCCTATGCGAAGTCATGAACTCTACAGAATTGGCTCTGACATAGACTCTGCAGAACTAGGCGCGATTTCGGATTTCAGACTTGGCGCGGCCGTGCGGAACAGTGGCCGGATAGTGTACGTATTTGGTCAGATAGTATATGTATTTGGTACAGATTTTTTGGTAGTCTTTGTGAGCAGATAGTATACATTTTTTGTATCACAAGGTAGATGATTATTTTAGTTTTTTTTAGGTGTAGAGATTCATCTATTGACACATAACGCTATGAAAACGAGCAAGCGGAAGCTTCAAATCAGAATCACGAGGACGAAATCACAAAGTTTGAAAGATAAATTAAAATCACCATTGTACTCAATAATAGGAGCAGAAACAGCAAATTTCCGATAGACTGTATTTCTATACGGAGAAACTACCATCTCATGGAAGTCACCAACAAACTCTAGTGACAACTTCTATAAACCATTCCGAAATCATTTAACTATATGAAGCATCATGTGAATGTGCATGGCTCTATAGAATAACTAACCACGTATAACAGTCTAGTGGTAGTAGTTCCATTGAATCATCCACGACTATCTATGAAGATAACGTTGATTCTGTTACACAGATGCAAACTTGCTATATTAAAAGCAATATAACTAAACATATTGCTCCTAAGTTGGTGGGGAACTAAACGTTTTACAAACAATATCTTATAATAATCTTGTGGATTTATTCACTAGGCGTGGCATTAGTATGCAACAACTTGCAAGCTTCACGGGAGATACTCTCAATATATTAACATGTATTAAGCACTATATTGCGCTCTTTTCCTATTATGAGTTTTCTATAAAATGTTGTTGCGATAAGATTTTTAATGAAGCAATATGAATTCAAGACATGCCATATTTTCCATTTTCCTCGTAAGAGATTTTATAAGGGAATGAAAAAACAGTTTTGGAGGAGGTTATACCAAAGTGTACAATGGACAATAATTTAAAAATATCACATATCTTTTCTTGTGATTTTTCCCAATAGGTTTTTGAGGAGTTTAATAACATACAACAACATTATTATCACATATTTTTACTATAAGGTTTTTTGAGGATTAAAGCTATTTGATTTTTTGATTGATTTTAAGACTGGTTACGATCAAGAGTGTTGAAAAAGCAAAACGGACCAATACGAGAAGGGTGATCCTATCTCCACGGATACTATTCACGGATTAGTGACGTACTGACTAGGATTAATTTTTAACTATAGATCTAATACTACGATTATTGTTTATCCTTGTGAATTTGTGATTGTGAAGCACCGACTTTCCGAGCAGATGCCATCACGTCCATTGACATGGTATATGTAAAAGCGGATCAATCAAACAAAAATGAAAAAAAAACAGTTCAATCATTCATTACCTTGTTCGTTCTCTTTAGCCTTTACGTTGAAATAAAATTAGGTACCTAATTTAAGCTCATGGGACCTTTCACTTTTGCGGATGAGTCATATCTGTACTGGTCGATATACATTTTCCTTATCATATATACAGACAACTATAACAATAACAATAAAAAAAACTGCCCTAACGTTCTACGAGATGGATCACACGAGCACACCCCACCGAACGAGCACATTTTGAGCACGTATTCTATCACACGACTACCAATAGTACAGAGAGCACATCTTTACGCATCCTATCACACGACTACTTACTAATAATACAGAGAGCACATCTTTGAGTATGCATCCTACCCACGACTATCAATAATACACATTTTTGTGGTGTTTGTTTGGATATATTCCAATCCACCAAATCCATATGACAAGTTGTTTGGCTGCGCTCGGTTACCACAGTCCATGTGTTTTGAAGTGTGAAGATTAGTTCATTTTCCACTTCAATGTACCTCAATACATGTGAATTGAGCTAGATACGTGTGCCCAAACAAGACCTAGGTCGAGAGGAATTGGTGTGGAAAAGAAGCCCTTAATGCATATCATGGGCCCCAGGAAATCAGAACAAGTGTAGCAAGGACTGCATCAGCATATATAACAAACACTATACATACATCTGTGCTTCTCGGGAAAAATATCATAAACATGGCCACTTCCATTGCTCACTCTTACAGTCTCTTTTCAGTTGCCAACTAGAGATGTGTCGGAAGTCCTAAGCTCCCCATGTGGCAGCAAGAAGGATCCCTAGAGGTAACCATTTCAGAGTGTCCCTTCAACCTTTTTCTTGATTTCGAGGGCAGCTTGGACGACGTTCCCTCTTGTAATAATCCCAACCTTACAGGACGAAGTTGTCTCAGGGCAACAGAACCAAAGGAAAAGAAGGACAAAGGAATCGCAACAGTGTCCTCACCAATTTGCCTGAGCTATCAACTACTGGAAGCCTGCGATATTTGGTCACAAGGAGTAACCTGAAGAATAAAGTACAACCACTTTTAGAGGATAATATTGAAGATGTCCAGGAGAAAACAGAGGAGAAGTAGAAGCCGTGTTCCAAACATACCTTGCAGCATCTTCAAGGTTAGTTGTTTCACGCACCACAAGAGGCGCTGAGGTCATAACATCACCAATAACCTTCCCATTGGTTTTGCTCAAAAGCCTTTGTATCTCACGAAATGTCTACAGAAGTAGGCAAGAAGTGAAAACAAGAAAAGGACAAGTTGATATGGCATAATTTAAAATTCAGTAAAGTGAGAAGTTCTGGGGAAACGTCAACTTCGCATCAGCTACCAAATAGTGATAGAAATAATCATGTGTGTTCAGGTTAACCTAGTGTCTTAGGTTCATTGCTATCAGTGCTGGCTAGATTTCAGCTTGTAATTAAAGACATTAATGGGCAGATCATGAATCATTCACTGCATTAGTTAGTTAAGGAGGATATCATGGGCCCTGTATCAGCTATACACCGAGAGAGAGAAAACGATGAGGGCTGGTGTGGCCCAGTGTTATCTAGTCATCCGATTAATCGCGATTAGTCGTCCTGGTCGCTCCCCTGTACTTATCAGAGCGACCAGAAACCTTGTCATCTGATTAATCATCGACTAGTCGCGATTAATCGTCTGATTAGGTGTTCTAGACGACTAGATAGGCAACAGGGAAGTGGGCTGCATCAGCTCACAGGCCTACCTATGTTTGCTCCCTCACCCCTTCACACCTGTCCATACTCCAGCATCAGCCGCCAGTTTGTGGTGCGAAGACTACAGCAGCAAAAGCCATTGCTGCCGTTCTGCAGCTCCTATCTTCCTCTCCTCCCTTCTGGTTCGCAGCTGTCATGCCTCCTCCTCCTCCCTCCCTTCCTTGCTGCAGCCATAGGCACGATTGCCCGGAGGATTCTTGCGTGTTCATAGGCCACAGGCACAACCAACTAACCAGAAATATAGTCTTGATGCTTGATTTCTACTATATAAGTATATAGTATATGGTATGTATACCTTGCATATATGTCCTGCTACAGGACGATTATATAGATGACTAGACCGATCAGAGGTCGATTAATCGTCCTGGTCGTCAACTAATCGTCCTGGTTGGTACCAAGGCGACTAGCAACGACTAGCTGATTTAATAACATTGCTGTGACCAGTAAGTGAATCGCCTCCCACCTCCCCGCCTCCAGTGCCGACGGATTCCGTCGCTCGTCCTCCGCGCCACGCCCCACACGGCGGCGGCAGGGCACGGGTAGCGAGGCCGGCGGTCCACGCGCGCAGCGCGCCTGGTTGTGTGGGGCGGTGCCGACGCAGGGGCTGATGCGGAGGCCCCTGTACATCTCGTCGGATCTTGGTGGCACCCAGGCGGGACCTGTGGAGCGAGACATCGAGGTCCGCTAGCACTCTTAACCCCATCGCCCGTCGCCTCCCTCTGGCCGCCGTCGTCCATCCCCACTGCGCCCCTCTGAGCTCCCCCTCCCGCCCCCGCCGTGTTCCCGTTCTGAGCGGAGCACATCTCTTCGTTGATGGGCACGCACACCGCTCCCACCAGGTGCCCTTCTCGAGCTGGAACAGGACCCTGCGCTGAAGGACCTAGTGAAGGATTGGGATTGCTCTCCTGGTAAGAGGTTCCAAGCTGAAGTCTTTCATAAGTTCTCCTCTTCAGTTCATCACACTTCCTCTTCGCCGGATGGCTCCTTCTTCTTGCTAGTGGTTTTCCGGAGATATCTTTTTCGGTTGACTGAAGACTCAGTAGCCATGGCTCTTCACTGCTGTCTTGGAGGCACTCCTGCTGGGTTTCGTGTGACCTTTCTGAAAGAGCGCCATTTTCGTTTCTCTGTTGCTTCCAAATATGTGGGTTTGTTTGTCCGAGCTCTTAGGAGAATCACAACAGACCATTTTGATGTATACTTTCATTTGTGGCGTGACGGAGGTGCTGACTGGCTACGTGAATGGAGAAGATGGGAGAAGGAAGAAGAAGATAGTTGGACAACAAAGATCAGTAGAAAAAAACAAGTGCAAGCTGTCTGGTAAGAAGGTCTCCTTCAGCAGAAAGTTAGTACTGGACTCTCCAGTGAGCAAATCTTGTCCCAAAGAACTTTCTTCAGTAATCAAAGTTGGAGATTTATTTTGCCCAGTCCCAGTTCTGACTTCCTCTCCAGTGTTTTTTGGCCTCCCCTCAACTCCATTGGGGGGTGAGAGATCCACTGTTTTTTGCCTCGATCACGTTCAAGGCTCGGATTCTAAGTTTGGAGACGTCCCTGGCAGCTCTGGTAGCTCTGATGACCCCTCTGTTATTGCTGATACTATTCCAAGCAACCAAGTTCAAAGTGTTCGAGGTATTCAAGCTGATCGAGCTATCCATAATACTCAGCCTGTTCATGGTGTTCATCATCAGCAAAGAGATAGTTCGACTGTCCTAGTCAGTGATGTTTTTCAAACTCTCAAAAGTGATCTCGGCATTAGCAGTCATAACTGCAAAGTTACCAAAGCTCCACAGCCAAGACAGGATAATGACAAGCATCTCCCCCAAGGTGATCGATTTAACTTCTCTCTCAGCACTAATGTTAGGCTCTGCTTTCGTTGCTTAAGCCCGAATCATTTAGTTAGGGAGTGCAGAGGAGAAATTAGGTGCATATATTGCTTTTCCTATGGCCACCGTGCCCGATTTTGTGTCAAACGAAAACTCGACCTCCAGCATAAATGGGCCACCAAGCCCAACAAGCTCACATCCGGGACAGTTTGCGTTGAAGATGGAATCGATAAGTCTCCCCCCATCCAATGGTCTATAGGGCCCAATGCAACGAGTGCCCCTTTGCCTTCCCCTGTCTCACAAACTGTGACCCTCTGTATTCCCCCCACCCAGCCGGTGGAACCTGCTCACAGTGGCAACCCACACCCTTTTGAGGGTTCGGTGGTCCCTGAAGAAGATGAGAATATTATCCAGATGACTGATCAGCTCATGGAACAGCTAATTGAAAACAATCAGAATCAAGAGGCCATGGAGGAAGACCAGGGATCGGCAGTTTTGGGTGTTGCAGCCTCATCCTCAGCTGCTGCAACTCTCCTTCAGCCTAGACAGAGTGCTGTTAGAGAAGTCAACATTGATAACCAGATGACAGTGCAGGACTCCCTGATGATCAACCAAGTTAAAGCTGCCCAAAATCATTTGCAGGCCAACGTGAACCTCAATTGGACAGCAGCAGTGCCTATCAGGATCAATAACTGCAATATCAGTTTGTCAGAAAGCCAAGCAGACATTGAACAAAGAGAGGCTATCACAAAATTCCTTGCTGATGGGCTGAGGCAGTTAATGGCCAATTACGGCAATGCTAACTCCAGAGTAATGGGAAGTCTTGCCATCAAAAGTTCTCTCGTAAAAATTGACCTTGCTGCCCTAGGGATCACATCCCTCAATATTGTCGTCAACATTCCAGACCAGAACAATATGGATGGCCCCTCTTTTGGCTCCAAACTGATGCTTCATGAGCCACTAGTAGCTCAGCCTGAGCCATACCTGCTGGTGCCACCTGCTATCGCCATGAACAAGCCCGCACAAATCACTAGGGTGTATTACAGAAGAAGGTTCAAAAACAAGGGTGGTAGCTATGAAAAGCAAGCTGTGCTGGTGGACCATTCCTCAGAGGGCGTACCTAGTGCAGAAAGCTCCCGCTCTATGCGGGGTCTGGGGAAAGGTGTCAGTGGTAAGCCTTACCCTCGCCTGTGCAATGCAAGGAGACCGCGACTCGAACCCGGGACCTTCCGGTCACAGGCGGTAAGACTCTACCGCTTCCTCAGAGAATATTGGAAATATCTTTGGAAATAACCAGTCAACCACTGAAACCCTGGCAGACAGCTCAAACAAGGGTGAAGATTCTAGGAGACAGAAGAGAAAGATCTGTTCAAGCAAAGGCGAAAATTCTAAGTCACAGAAGAGAGAGAGCAGTACTCCTACCTCCACCATAAAGCTTAGAAGGAGCCCAAGATTCATAGAAAAGCTTGATGGACACAAACCTGCTGTCATTCCCACTGGAAAAACACATACCAGAAACAAGAACAAAGGCAAAAAGGTCAAGCCCCAGACTGATCTGCTAGGCAACATCTTGCTTTCACCTACTTGCCATGCTTTTGAATTCCCTAGCCTCTCAACTATTGTCAAGCATTCTGATATGGGTACTATTTTCCCCCAAATTCCTGTCACTGAAATACAGAAGTTAGCCACTGAAACCTGCTGCATTTCTCCTTCGGAGGTGACAGCCGAGCTCCTCCTTGACTCCAGGCTTGAAGACGAAGCAGGACTCCACGCCTTTTCTTAGTTCCCTTTGGGCTAAGAATTTTTTTGTTGTGCAAGAACCTGCTCCTATGAGTAACATCGCCAACAACAATAGCCTGGACAACTGTCCAACAAGAAGCTGGAATATCCTAAACTGGAACATTAGAGGAATCAACTCAGAAGACAAATGTACTGCTGTTAAAGAAAAGATTGATGAAAGTGCTTGTGCAATCTTCTGTATCCAAGAAACTAAAAGGGATCACTTCGACCACTCCTTCCTCAAAAAGTTGGCCCCCAAGCACTTCAATAAATATGCCTTTTCGCCCTCTAATGGGAATTCTGGAGGCATACTCCTGGGGTGGAACACTTCCATCTTTAATGGTGAAATCATTGAGATCAACAAATTCTCCATCTCGGTCAACTTCTCCTCCACCCACAATGGTCACAATTGGACCTTAACCACGGTTTATGGTCCCTGCCAAGGGCCTGAAAGAGATGAATTTGTTCACTGGCTCAACAATATGCACATTGATGATGAGGCCAACTGGATGTTGGTGGGTGATTTCAACTTCTACAGATCCCTCTCTGATAGGAATAAAAGTGGGGGAAATATGAATGATATTATGATCTTCAATGAGGTCATCAACAATTTGGGTCTTCTGGAAATTCCCCTCAAAGGTAGAAAACACATGGAGCAATATGCAGAATGACCCCCTCCTGGAGCAATTAGATTGGGTTTTCACATCTGCTAATTGGATTTCTGACTACCCAAGCACTCTCCTTCTTCCAATGTCCAGGCCAACTTCAGATCACATCCCTTGCATGATTCAAATTGGCACCACCATCCCAAAAGCCCAAATTTTCAGATTTGAAAATTATTAGGTTGATCACCCTGGATTCATGGATCTTGTAAAAACAGTGTGGGCTACAAATGTCAGTGCCTCGAACAGTGACACCAGAATCACAGCAAAGTTCAAGCTTCTCAGGGCTGCCCTTAAAAAATGGAGCAGAAAACTATAAAACCTTAACAGGCTTCTCAAAATTTGCAATGACACTCGAGAAATCTTAGATGCCCTTGAGGAACAAAGGTCACTTTTTATACAAGAGAGCAACTTTAGAAAGATCTTAAAAGCCCACATACTCAGATTGCTCAACTATAAGAAAGAATATTGGAAGAAGAGGTATACTGTGAGATGGACTAAATTAGGAGATGAGGGAACAAAGCTCATGCCAAATAGGCTTCAGGCATTAATAAACCCTTGATACACACCAATCAGTATGGTTTCATAAAAAACAGGACAATACAAGATTGCCAGGCCTGGGCCTATGAATACATCTACCAATGTCAACATTCCAAAAGAGAAATTATCATCCTGAAACTGGACTTCACAAAAGCTTTTGATACAATTGAACATAACACAATACTTTTGATGATGAAGCACTTGGGCTTTTCTGAGCAATGGATTGATTGGATAGACAGAATTCTTGCTTCTGGTTCTTCCTCCATTCTGCTCAACGGTGTCCCAGGCAACCATTTTCACTGTCGCAGAGGGGTTAGACAAGGTGATCCTTTGTCCCCACTTCTATTTGTGCTTGCTGCTGACCTTCTCCAATGTATCATCAATAAAGCATATCATCAAGGTCTCTTTGAGCTGCCAATACCTTCTTATGAGTTGGATCAATTCCCAATTGTACAATACGCAGATGACACACTATTAATTTTGAGAGCTTCACAGAGAGAGTTGTTCACGTTAAAAGGGTTGCTGGAATCCTTTGCTCAATCAACTGGACTACGAGTTAATTACAAGAAATCTTGCCTTGTCCCACTAAACCTCTCTTTGGAAAAGGCTCAGCTCTTAGCTGGAGTCTTTGGCTGTAAGCTGGAATCCTTGCCATTCACCTACCTGGGATTGCCGTTGGGCACCACAAAGCCCCGGTTAGAACACTTTGGATCTATTATGAGTAAAACAGAAAGGAAGCTCAATTCCACCTCAAACTTCCTGACACATGCAGGAAGGCTTCAATTGGTTAATTATGTCCTCTCTTCATTGCCCACCTTTGCCATGTGCACTTTACAAGTTCCAGCAGCAGTACTTGATTATATTGATAGAGCAAGACGCCACTGTCTTTGGAGAGGATCTGAATCCAATGCCAAAATGAAGCCCTTAGTAGCCTGGAAAAAGTGCTCAAAGCCCAAAAACAAAGGAGGGCTGGGAATCATCAATCTCAGAACCCAAAATAAAGCTCTCCTTCTCAAGCATGTGGACAAGTTCTACAACAAAAAAGACATCCCATGGGTCAAATTGATTTGGAATGCTCACTATCCACAGGACCAAGTCCCCCATGCAACTACTGATAGAGGATCCTTTTGGTGGAGAGATGTACTTAAACTTTGTGACCTCCTCAGGGGAATTGCTGAATGCAAAATTGGTGATGGCTCCATGGTCCTCTTTTGGTCTGACCTTTGGAATGATAATATTTTGCAAACCAGGTTCCCACGACTTTTCTCCTTTGCAAGGCACAAAAATATTTTTGTAGCCAAGTTTCTGGCAAACAATACCCTGGAGGCTCAATTCTACCTCCCCCACTCTGAGCAAGCCTTTCAAGAGTTCCAGAGTCTACAAGATTTCATCCAAACTCTACAAGTCAATCAAATTTCAAAAGACTCTTGGCACTACATATGGGAAAGCAGAGTGTATTCTTCCTCAAAATTTTATAACTTTCCTTATAAGAATATACAGCCACCAGCTCCCTTCCTCTGGATTTGGAATTCCAAATGTTGCAACAAGCTCAGAGTCTTTTCATGGCTGCTCTTCATGGACAGATTGAACACAAGAAATATTTTGAAAAGAAAAAAGCAAAAGCTTGAAGGAAATAACTATAACTGTGTCCTCTGCAGTAACAACATTGAAGAAACTGCTTTCCATCTTTTCTTCAGCTGTCCCTTTAGCCAAACTTGTTGGCAGCACCTTGGAATTAATTGGGATTTCACAAGAGAATTTTTCGAGATGATGCAGCAGGCTAAAGCTCAATCTCGGAATCCCTTTTTCTTGGAGTTCTTCATCATTGCGGCATGGCAAATTTGAAAGCAGAGAAATAACTTCATCTTTGATAGGGGTTGGCCTTCTTTTATCTCTTGGAAGAGCTCCTTCTGTGAAAAAGCTAGGCTTCAAGCTCATAGGTTCAATGTTGTAAAGCATCTAGAGTTCCTTTCCTGTATAGTCCCTCTAGCCTAGTTCTTCTGCCTCCCTAGGGCCTGCTTTTTGTGTACCTCCTTCCCTTGCTGTGTCGCCTTTGTACAGTGCTGTTTCTCTTTTTGGTTTTAATAAAATTCACAGTGGGGGCCTCCCCTGCTGTATATTTTGCTCAAAAAAATAACATTGCTGTGGCCGCATCAATCAAAACTAGTGTCCACCACAGAGAAAAGCTAAGAGTTTGTTTGTGATAAACACTCAAGAAGGGGTGTGGTGCTATTACGTAGCAAAAAAGGGGGAAAAAGTCACAAACATCAGAGGTAACCAATAGTTTCGATGAGTTATACCGACATACCACAAAAGTCAAAGTCGGCCTGAACCATGTGTTTGGAAACCAGAATAGCATCAAACTTACTCAAAACAACATAAAACAACAAATATTAGCAAAATAAGTGCTAGCTAGCCGTACCACCATAAGTCATAATGTAGATCAACTTTGAGGACATATGCACCCAACTAGCAAAACAGCCCATCCCAGATAAAAAGTTAGATGTAAAACAATATTTTTTTCCCAATCACAAAGAGAGCCGCGCATCTTTGATATAGGAGAAAATAGTGACTCTCCACAACTTTGATGGATATTACCCAAATAATTAGGCATGCAGGCGGGCTGGCTCGCGGCTGGCCACCAACCCACATCGTTTGCCACAAAATTTATTAGCAGGCTTGTGGCTAGCCACTGAGCTATTGGCTTTATGGACAAGGGTTTCGCCCACATAGCAGACTCGACTGCAAAACCCACAAGACCCACTACACATACAACCATATCTCTCTGTTTAGTAGGTTGAATGCCATGTCTAGGAGATATAACATTTGATAAAGTTCAGTCACAGTCTAAGTTCGCTAATACAAGATTACAGCTTTTGGTGATTTCTGCTTTTCAACAGATTTAGTCTTTAGAGTTTCAGAAAATTATAACAAATACTGACAGTATTTCCCTGTTCAATGTCCAACAGTAAATGAAAACATTGTTTCCATCTGCACGGGAGTGGAGGTACAGGGCAGGGAGGGCTGACAGGGGCGGCGGCAGTAGCGATAGGTTTTGGGAGAGGAGTACGACAGCGACTGCAGCAGCGTCAGTACTTGCAGGTTCTTGTGGGTCTGTAGTGGGTTTTCACTTTTGCTGCGGGCTTGGCAGGCTCAGAACAATTAGTCTGCAAACAATCAGCAGCTGAACTGCAACAGCCACAAAGAATTATTTTGCGGGGTGAGCAGGCGGGTAACGTTAAGAACCCGCTCCTGCCTGCATTCCTACCAATATGAAATATATAAATTGTGAAACTGTGGCTGTCAAAACTTAAGCCAGCAGTGTATAGTAGATACTCTTACATTCCAACACAAAAAGTGTAACATACATAACCATGCAGCATAATCAAATCAATTAGCATTTTCCAGTCCTTTGAAAGGTACCTTCCAAGTGCTATCCACCTCAGGAAATATGTCTGCTTCAGCCGGTCCAGCTCCTAAAGGATAAGAAAGAACCGATATAAGGTATATAAATAATGTGTAGCTAAGTGCAAAAATAACAGTGAAAATGATCTCAATTTATTAGATATTTAGTTATTACTACTATATTAAAATCTGTTAGAAGCAGCCAAAAATGACCAAGACATGTCATTCAATCTTTCTAGGCCGTTGGATATCGTACAGGTTCAAACATCAAAGTCATCTGTTTTGGAGCATAATGAAAACCAGATTCATGCCCATGCAACTCAATGCACTCAGGTTGGATAAGCATAACTTGTTATGATAACCTTTAACCTTTTGCGAAAAAAAAAACTTTAACCTT